TCCTCCCTTCACTGCCTGCGGTCGTGGCCGTCGAGGGGCTCTCTTGTACCGAACCTTCCTCGATACTGCTTCGCTCACAGGAATAAGTTGTGTATAGACATGGCGCAGAAGACGATGCGACAAATTATCCCTACAATGTTTTGTCCCACAATCATACATTGTTAGAAGATACTCACCTGAAAGATTTTTTTTTTACTTGGATAGACGTGTAGCCACGTGTATGTACATATCTAAGAAATAAAAATAATCATATTTCTGTGCGTTTTTGTACTGAAATTATTGACCTTCAAGATCTACGGTCATTTCGAAGCCAATCATATTTAACTTTTTCATGTACATTAAAACCACATTAAAATGAAACTGCAAAAAGAAAAAGTATTCCACTTTTTCGTTTTATTACAAGTAAGGCACTACTTCGCAATTTGCTATTTAGGATTCATCTCATGAAGATTCAGAATACCCGAGGCTTACTTCTCTTATCACACACATCCTTCCCTTTTCATCCAACCTCGCTCCTATCTTGCTGTTCTTATATTTCATTCACGATTTATTTCGCAGGAATTCCACATCTCGTATTTCGCAAATTGCATCGATCTTCATCCTTCTTGTGATTCTATGTTTACGTTCCTCTAGTTTCAACATAAATTATCTGAACTTCTGTAATGTTATTTTGAATGTTCTGTAATGAACTTCTAATGTTGATTCAACACTTTCCTTCCAGTTGAGGTGACAGTGCGAGGACCTGTTGATGCCGTGACTGGGATGGTGATGAATGTGACAGACCTCAAGCAGATCATCAACAGCGTAGTCATGGATGTCATGGACCACAAGCATCTTGATTTGGACGTCCCTGTCTTTAGGTCAGTGGGCGATTCGGTTTGTGAATTTTATTGGCTTGCATCTGATTAGGTGAAACACGAAATCATAACATTGGCTTGCATCTGATTAGGTTATATAGATATATAAAGTGAAACACGAAATCATAAGGTTTAGAGTGAAATTACACTCATAAGATGGCAGCAGTGAAGTGGATACTCCAGATAAATAGTCATGGTCTGATGTATCCCTAATTTCTGTGGCCTTGTTTCAGGTAATCTTTGTACTCACATTATGTATTTATATTTGTGTTCATATAGTTAGAAGTAGTGTAAGTGTAGATAAAATGTCTTATTGTTTATTGAATTGCTTAGGGCAAGTGGTTCACTTTACCTGAAGCAAGAACTGTATATTTTGTAATATATCAATTGGAATTTTAAGAATGACAGATATCTTAAATCGAGCATAGATCTATTTGTTTTGTTTGGAACAAGTTATGTAATGTTGGAAATATGACCTATTTGTTCACACCTAATAGATCCAGTATTGATTGCATTATATAAGATGCACATTTCATTGTAAATAGCAATGTCAAGCAACTTATATAACCATACTTAATATAACCATATATGATTTAAAAGCTGTTCATCTATCATTTAATTGATTTCTCCATGCAAGGTTAGATTTAACCATACCAACACCTTTGTATCATGATAGTAACAGTAATGGTTGAATATTTCTGCAGCTATCACATCTAAATTCCTCTCTTCAGGGACTCAAATCTCGTCAGTACTACAGAAAATGTCGCAGTTGTCATATATGAGGCCATCCAGGGTCAACTTCCGAGCCAGGTGACCTTGTACGAAATTAAGGTTCATGAGACTGACAAGAATATTGTTGTCTACAGGGGAGAACAAGAATGAAAAATTTATAACAAATTTGATCAGTAAGTGCCAAACAAGAGTTTAAATGAGATTAGTTTTGATATCAAACTTTCTGTATGTGAATGCAATAGCTTAGGTATAGACTAAAGGTCTTCCAACTCCTTTGTTCTGTCAAGGTTATATGAATTAAAAATACTTTTTGTATCTTGATTTTTTTTTTATGTTATCAGTTTGAAATAATAAATTGTTTTAAAAGTATGTCTTGTTTTTAGGAAGTTGTAGTTTACAGATTGTATATTATTACCAGTTTTAAGCATTATCTAAACAAATTAGTTAATCTGATACCCAAGGTCAAGGGCAACTGCTGATTTTTCACTGATATTCATATATTTAAAGCAGATGATTAACCATGCATTGTGAATCAGAAATATCTCTTAACTTTACATTCTTTGATGCAAAGCTCAGAGACAGGCACACAAGTAAACATTTAATCACTGAGAATATTCATGTTTGCATGCATGAACACACATGTAGATTACTCATATTAGCCATCAGGTCAAGTTCACATTTAACAGCAGAGTTGACTTGGTACCTCAGTGGTTTGCTTTTATATTTGAAAACAAACCTAAAGTATGCTTACAAAGCGAGTTAATGAATACCATAGGAATAATAGTGTTTCAAAACCATTACAAATACATTATGGATTCCTTTACACATAAAAAATCAAATTACCATTTTGACAAAATTATTGTTGATAAAGTGTTACAAAAATTCACCAATAATTCTAGTATTTTTCTGCTGTATCAAGTAGAATGGGTAAAAGAAATCCTGATTTTATTAATCTCTAATTTGCATAAAAACAAACCCAAAGTAAGAGGGACTTTTTTATTATTAATAATACTGCCTATTGAAAGATTGAAGAGATCAATATTAGAAAGTAAATGGCACATAAGAGAATATTGAGTAGTAAATAATACATACATAATATCCTTCCACATTAATGGGAATCAGATGAACAGAATAATAAATATTAATTTTGCATTCACAACTGCACCTGTGCATGTATCAATTTGGACATGGAATAATTATCTAAATGCATTAATTCCTATTTCTCCAAAAGGAAACAGAAAATACTGGCACTAGCAAAAATCATTGACTGTGGTCATGTGGTCATTTTACTCTATGGTCATTTGGTCATCTTACTCTAATCTCAATTTCCTCTTCTTTTCATTATTTAGTCATAGACTGAATGCCTTAGTTGCATGAGCAATTAAGGCATATCATTTCATACTTCATTTGTAAAGCATGTTTAACTACATTAGTATTATTGCCTTATTAGCAGTGAGAAAAGATAAAGTAAAACAAAATAGCCTTTTGTGCCTCATGAGATAGTACATCATTGTTCTAACTTGTTAATTTTGGAGGGTCTTGTTCATAATATGAATACCAAAAGTGAGATAATTATTTTTATAAATTACAAGTGATACTTGGATGATACTACCCATATTGGAAATGAGATAGATGAGTTCACCATTTACTTGGCAAAGCTATAAATTAACTTCATTTTTTTTTAGAAGTAGCAAAGATCAACAAATACAAAATACTCTGAGGTACAAAATATAGTATGGCCTGTACCACTAAACCAAATAAACTTTTATTCCTTTCTTGCTCGACCCATTTGTAACCATGGTTGTATTTTAGCAATATCCCTTTTAAATTTCTTTCCTTATCTTTGCCTTCTAATGAAACTCTAAGGCTAGTTAACCCTTAGTGTAATTTTGTTTACCATATATCTGAGAAGAAAAGGAATTACACCCTTTTTTATGGAAAAACTGGGTTGAGATAGAGCAATTAGTAGTTTAATGTATTGTTTAATTTGCTCTGTCACCTTAAAATCATTTTATGATTAAGTCATGTTTGTATTCCAATTCTTTTCTTCTATTCACTTCATGAAGGTATAATTACCATGTACTTAGAACATAATGATCTTTAACATCCACAAGTTACTCATCTTAAATCCACAATATAAAAAAAACACTTTTGAAAGCAAGAGGATATTAAAACCAACTGTCAGAAGTTGAAATCGTGTATTGGATAAAGCTTGACACGTTTGTTAAAGCAAAAGAAGAAACTAGTATAATATCAAGATACCTCTTAGGTAGGGGTGTCCAGAAGTGTGGCAAACAAATTACTCCTGTACACAGGACATGAAGAAGATGATAATAATGGTGATGAAATGAGACTAATATGTACCTTGGGAAATGATTGGAGTGATGTGGGATCCTTATGAGAGGTGAGGAAAAGGGTAGACAGAAGGATAATGTGGGAAATGGGTTTTGAAGATGTTCACCACTCACAGTCTGCAGTAATATTTGGTCCAAAAACAGTTAAACTGATAAAAATATGTCCCCTTAAAACTAACCATTCATTCTAGGAATAGCGATAATTCTTTATCTATATTTATCTGTGTTAGGGTAAATAACCAACGGATGTTTTTACATCCACCTCTTTCTGAAGATGTTACATCCAAGGAAACTGCAGACTGGCAAGAGGCTGAAACTTTGTGAGAGGCAACAATGTTCCATATGGGTGTGTCTCCTTATATACCTTACAGACAAAATATACATCTTACTTGCAGACCCAAATGGGCAACGGAGAATGCACACCCATATTAATATTTGAACATGAGAGAAACAAACCACTTGGTGGTTAATTAACAAAAGGTCCATCACTGACCTAAAACTGGGACGTTATCTTCTTTTTAAAAAATCTAAGACTTCCATATTATAATATTTCTTCTGTACATACAATATAAACCACACTTCTCTATCTCTAATCTAAGCTCGAACAACCTGAACCTGTACAGCAACTCAACGAGTGTCTTTGGCTTGCAGAAAACAAGTGTTGCCATAGGGTGCACAAATCTTGAATAATTCTAACCCTAACACTGTCTACCAGATCCACTAAGTAGAAATACAGTGGGCGAGTTGCACATCAAGACAGCCTCTCCTGTACACTCACCCACAGACTGATAACTCAGTACAACAAGGTTCTAATATGCATATTAGTGGGAATAACATCATATTTGCCCTCCCTACAACAGTACTTAACATATGATTGGAGTAATTGCTACAAGGTAATGTGCAAAAAGAAAAAAATACTTATTTCATATACACATAAGGATTCAATCTCTATAAAATATACATATAAAACAAATCCAATCAACTCTTTAATGGATAATTGTGCACACTGGCAACACTAGTAGCAATCTGCAGTGGATACAAATAAACAGGTTAAGAAACAAGCTATATCCCTTCTCTGTAAACAGGAAAAAACGCATACCATATATTTTTTACTAACTTTAAAAAGGTAAATCATGGTGCACACTTTGCCCCTCATCACCTGACCTTGTGACGAGAAGTAATCAGTCTTTGGCATGTGGGCTGGTAAAGTAAAGGTAGTACACACCAGTACATTGGTAGAAGTCATTAAAATGCACACAATCAGCAGGTCTATCATGTTCCTACACATACTGGTGTGGTTTAGACATGACTTCCATCAATACACTGAGTTTCTAAAAAGATACATGGCTATCTTCCCAAGCAACCCATACCATAGAAACACTTCAGTAACCTCAAGTACTAAAATATACATTTACTTTGACTTTTGACAACTCACTGGTACCTTTCCTTGTCATTAAATGAAAAAAAAAAAGTTTACACAACTTGAAATAGATACTTTGTACTTACCAGTTATTAATGTTATATAATTAATTTGGCAAACAACTTGGCCATATCTGAGATGTATTACAGATTCAATCATAATCTGAAAAAAATTAAATCTTCAAAGATGAAACCTAAGTAAAACCCACAACTGAAAGAGTGACAAACAGTAGCAGATGCAGGCAATGAGGAAGATGTGTCGTAACAAGCAATTCTGGGAACAAGTTGAGGTTTATCTAAAGCTCAATTATCCTTGCCAAGACGCAATAATAAACCAGACATCCCTAACATTCTTAACTCTTTTCCAATTTGCCTTTCCTAGCACCAGTTTCTTGAGATCAGGAAGCTGTGGGGGTGGGTACATATTCATAGGGTCTAGGATATTTTACTTGTTTCAAGCTTGTATGTGATTCACTTTGACACTGAATTAGTATCTACATATCAATATATATAGGATATCTGACTTCTTATATATTTATTCTACTGGGGTAAATAAGCAAGTCATTTAGTTCCCCAGAATCACAACCACACTAGTTCCAGCATAAGCCACACACTGCCACACTAAACTCCCTGAAATTGCTTACATTAACATTTTTAATGTCCAAAAAATTTCAGCTGTACTGATGAAAAAATCAAAACTTTATTTTTCATTGCTAATGGTTGCCTGAGTAGAGCTGTACTCAATAAAGGTGCTACACAATGGGGAAAGTCACAAACTGTTACTGTATCCACAGAGACATTTTAGTATATTTTAAAGGCAATTTGGAAAAGAGTAAATTAAGTACAAGTAATTCTCTAATATCCTTTCCAACGATAACAGTCATGCAAAGTATGCATGTCTCAACAAAATATAAGAACAAGAAGTATTAAATATCAATAAAAACTATAAATATTACTTCCCCAACGTCTCCATGCTTCCCTCCCTTCTAGACCATCCTGTCAATGGCCGTGCCTTTACCATAACTATCGCACTCACTGCAGTCTACGTACACCACACCTGGGTAGTAAGTCTTCTTCATACATGGATAATAGAGAACCACGTGCAAAGGGAACCATGGTTAAACTCCTAAGTAAGTGCTTGATCACTACATATTTGTACAAATTGCTATTTTTCAAGGTCAAGCACCGACTTAGAACTTGAAAGGGAATATTTGCATGGCTAGGCGAGTTCAGCCAATATTGTAATCAGAGTTACTGTTTTTCTTGGTTATTTGATTGTAGTGTCTTTGTCATAAAAATTATCCTTCAACATCAACAACTTACTTTACAAGTTTTGATTTACAATGATAGCTTTGTAACGCTGTATTTATATCTTCTAAACTCACCAATTATTGTCAAAGCTTGGCAAAGATTACAATTAACTAATGGTGTACAAAATGCGCACTATCACAAATTAACTCTCCACTAATACTGGCACACTCAAGGCACCTTAGACATCCTTGCCGTCTCGGGGGTTTTGTGAGGTTGTAAGTAAACTGTCAACTTCCCGATAGTGCAAACACATGACATAACTCTGGGAATTTGTAGAAAGTCTACGATGAACCCGCTGACAAGCTCACAAGATGAGGACTGCACAGTGTGACTTGCTGTTTCTTTGTCTTGTTCTGTTTTACGTGAAGCTCTGGGGCGTCTTGGTTCAATTTTATCGCAAAGACTTAAAGCGTGTGATATAATCTGAGGAATCAGTTCATTTGCCTATCTTAAAATTTGGAAAGCCTATGAAGATGACTTTGGTGGAAGACAACTATAGTCTGCTTATTCAATAATGATTTTTAAAAATAAATAAACAAAGAAGAATAGAATGAAAAACACAAATATACCGTCTATGTATCATTAGACAGTGATATATAAGCCCATTAAAATTGATATCAAATAAGTATAAAACACTAAAGATTTTCAAAAATATTTTGTTAATTTGAAATATATGCACATTAATGGTTAGAATGAGTTTGTTTTTTTAACAAAAATGTAAATAAAGAAAGACGAGAAATCACAAATATGTAAGGCCCCTTGACAGAGAAACTATACATGAAGGCTAAACAATACTTCATCGTGTGAAATTTTCAACAACCTGCATAAGTAGAGCAGCATATTAAAGGATTAAATATCATCATGCAGCGCTTGGTTTTGATATCTGCTGCAAATGATGATATTTATTTTACTTCATCTTAAAGTCGTGTGTTTCATTGCCATTTTCACATTTCTAGGAACACTGATGAGACGCAAATAAAGTCCCCGCTATTAACCCCAATCCCATTTGATGTTAAGACAAAGGAAAGAATCCAGAGCAACCTCATTCACTAACCTTTGTAAAAGTCAAGTAAATAAAGTTTTTTTAGTTGATCAAAATACAAAAAATTTCAATGTCGGGTATGAGTCCTAAATAGTTTACATTGCATTTCATTCTCCCCTTCCAAAAGGCTATCAGTAATGATTCTTACAGTAAAACGAAAGCTTTCCAAATTTTAAGCTACTGAAATCTACTTGCAGTTGCCTTCCTCATTAGTGATGTAAGCAGTATCTTCGGGCTAATTAGTGGACTACAAAGTTTACCCTGAGTACATCCATTTTCTTAGAATAGCATGCTGCCTCATCTCATACACCGCAATAATGGACTCCAATCATAGCATCTATTCACCTTTTTGTTACCATGCCATATACAGCAAGAATTTCTTGATGGTTTCCTTAATGCATATTAGTTACTCAAAGATTTGATACTGTAGGTGATCTCTCATTTGACTTAATCACCCGTGATGCTGGATTTGACTTGGCTCAAAAGCTTTAACTCTCCTTACTATATACCATAATAATATATCATTCAACTCACTAATAAAATTCACTTTATATTCAATCATCATATTTGAATAGCTACCATATAACCTATCAATTTGAAGTATGGAATATGCATTGTATTCTTTCTTCTGTAACATGATTCAAGTAGTCTAATAAACCAAGAACATGATTGTATAGTAACAAATACCATGAAGTTTGGAAATAATAACAATGCATGTTCAGTGATATAACACTGATATTCAAATTAACATAAATTAGCCAGTCATGTTGTATTACCTAACCAATAAAAGCTGTCAAAAAACCTGATTAGTCAGTCAAAAAGCCTTTTCTAAGGCTAAATAAAAGAATTGAAGGAATCATAAAAAAGTTGATATACATAAATACCATAATGACCTACATTGGATTCAAAATATAAATCGCACTTATGGTTGTGTCATGATTACTATAACTCTTGGCTTATAGACAACTCTGCGGCCCATGTCACCTGATCCTCCGCCTGCGTCTTGCTCTCGTAGGTCCCGTGGTGTGAGGAGAAAGAGACTGCACAGCCTGGGGGGGTAGGAGCTGCTGTCCATCCAGCACTCCCAGCGAGGCTGGAAGGCACTTAGCTCCACCTCCTATAGCAGTCTTGTTCTCCCGTGCCGTCACTTGGTTCATATGAGGTATATTTAAATGCTGGGGCTCCGAGGGTGGTTTCGCTGGTTTGTTTAGCATTCTTCTAACTGGTCCACTTCCCAGTCCAATCAGAGGTCCGTTCACAGCAACAACAACGGTGGTTGGAGAGTCCGCTGGCATGCCTTCCAATGCTACTGGCTGAGGAACTTCACACTGTTGGTGGCTGATTGCATTGTCTTGCATGGCCTCAGCTATTGCCTTGTCTAATGCAGCTCTCCCTCGCACACTGAAAATATAATCTCCAGTCACTCTCTGAACCTGATTTGAAATTATGGGTGAATTATGATTTTAGTCAATAACTAAAATAAATCACCCCTATTTATGCTCTAATTGCGAATAAAAGACTGATAGACACAAATGCAATTCAAGTCAGAAGAATGGCAGAACATACATTTACATTTCTGGACAGTCCTATGAAACTATAATCAAATACACAAAATACAAATCTACCTTTATAGATTCCATTTCTCAGACAAAAACAGATACTTAAGAATCATATCTACAACAAGAATAATATTCAGGTATACAAAGACAAACAAAAAGGCTTCTGAAAAGTATAAATACAATATTCTCTAACCTCATTGCACTCATATTTCCAGAGAAGACTTTAAATCCTATAAACATTAAAACATTAAAATTCTGAGATTTAGGCCTCTGAACCCAACAAAGAGAGTGTAAATTACCTGCGGCGTGTTGGCACCCTAGGAGGTACAATGGGGAACGTGGATAGGACGGAATGTTTGACGGTGTCCACCCTGTGATCCCCGTACCACTGCACCACACACTCACCACCAGCCTGGGAGGGTATGGTTCAAGGTGAAAACAATGGAAGTGACAGTCACTAAGATGTATGTCTGCTTTTTACCACTTATTATCCTGCTACTGTTCGTATCATTATCAACATTGTTATTCTTCTCTTTATTATAATTCATATCAAAATAACTATTACTTTAACCATTTTAACAAGGGGAAACGAATAACTAACTGAAATTTTTCTTTAATGAAACCAGTTAGTAAGGCAACCTTCACCAAAGACACACAATTCCTTCATTAATTCATACAGTCAGGAATGCCATTCCAAAAATAGCAATGAAATGGAAAAAAGGAGAAACTAGTAAATAATTTTGATATGAAAATACACATATTCAAAACCACTTGTTATCAGTATTACAATTATGGAACCCATAATAATTTCCATATCCATCATACCATATCTACTTTATTTCTGTATTCCTAGAAATGTTGATATATGTAAACCTTCATTCATTTCAATAAGTTTACCCTGCTTTAAATTTTAATCAAAGGGTTTTTCTCATTAAATAAGCATAAAACATCCCCAAAAGAAATTGTGATGCAATAAAAATACAGACAGATTTTACATCCTACCAAAAATTAAAAAACAAAAATGAAAAGTTATTGACAATGCTAAGCATATTGATTATTACAGAAAACGGTCAAACTGTCTGTATTTCTAAAGCCAATATTCAAGGTAAACTGAAATTCTTATGATTTAATAAGGATTAGAACAAATATAGAAATATGAATGATGATACTAACAGTAATAGTAAAAATATTAATGAAAATGATATTAATAATAATTAAAAAAAAAATAATAATAAAAAAAGAAATATAAATAATACATACATATATATGAGAGAGAGAGAGAGAGAGAGAGAGAGAGAGAGAGAGAGAGAGAGAGAGAGAGAGAAGAGAGAGAGAGAGAGAGAGAGAGAGAGAGAGAGAGAGAGAGAGAGAGAGAGAGAGAGAGAGAGAGAGAGATATGACATGAAAACAGGCCAATCCTAACAATAATACCTTACATAATAATACCTTAAACAGTATCAAACAACAAAATATAATGAACATTCATGAAAATGTAGTATTCAATTAATCCCTGCAGAGCATATCTTCATTGCTCTCATATATGGAAATCATTATTGATATTTTTCCTGAGGCAAATTAAATCAATGATCTAGAAAAAATAAAAATAAAAATATTCATAGTAAAGGAATGTGGTGAAAGAGGAAAAAAAATTAGTGGGAGAGTGTCAAGGAAAAAAAAAAAAAAACATATAACAAATAACACACAGCAACCTCGTGAGGCACTGCAAATGCAAAAGGATGAAAATAAGGAAGGCTGCATCATTTGCAATCATCCGTATCCAAGGACAACACAGGCAAACAAGAAAAAAAATGATAATTCAAAAATCATTGAAACTCATAAGGGGATGCTCAATCCTACCAGTCTAGAAAAGGTGTAATTCATGAACACGCAATCTACCAAAAACGAAGCCAAACAAGGTAATACTTCTCAGATGCATTTTTTTTCTTTTTTTTATTGCAAATCTTTCTTTAACAGCTTAACACCTTTGACTTGGACCTTGTGCCATGTCCTGGTTGCTATGAGCTGCAGTGTCAGGACATGTAAGAAATGAGTTTTGACTTTCGCTAAATTTCTGCCTCAAATGGGGCGTGACGAAGATCTTGTTGCCTTTGAACTATCTCTAACATTCACTGAAGATCCAAGAAAATTTCTTACTCTCTCCCTGTCACAGACATCGTTTGACTTCCAATCTTGGGAAACTCCCAATGTAGAAGTAACTAACTGGGTAGCAATTCCTTTATAGAACCTAGAATAGTAACACATCTGTTGCCTCTGTTGTGAGCTAATGTGAAACTATGATAATGAAGCCATATAGTCAATATCTTTGAAGATATTTCAGATCATACTGAGAAACCAGTACAATTACTATTTCATTCTATCTTGATCTGGTATATCAGGTAAGACTATGTTGGTTAGCTGACCTTATCTGGTGTATTCTTACTGAGGAAGCTAACCACATCACTAACCACATCTATGGTACACACACACCCAAATAAATAAATAAATAATGTATGTATGTATGTATGTATGTATGTATGTATGTATGTGTATGTGTGTGTATATATATATATATATATATATATATATATATATATATATTATATATATATATATATATATATATATATATATATGTATATATATATGTATATATATGTATATATATGTATATATATGTATATATATGTATATATGTATATATGTATATATAGACATATATATAGAGACATATATAGAGACATATACATACATACATACATACATACATACATACATGCATGCATACCTATTCATATTTAAGGGTGTTTAATACAAGTTCCAGTGTATTAGTAGAGAAACCCCAGTTCACATGGTTGTGTTTGTGGCTTCTTCATTAAGGCAAAATTATATAATTATCTAATCAGATCCAGTTCAATTGGAATATTTTTGCCAGAAATGCTTGGCACATTAAATCAAAATAGATTTTTAAAAGATGAAAGATATTACATAATAGAATAACTGGTTTACTTTCTAATGCAGCAACTATAAGTGAATAAATATTCAAAAGAAAATCATCAAAATCTATGAGGAAGTGCTTTAGATAATATAAAAATACCATGACAGAGAGGGAATACATTGGATCTCAGACAATATCAGTGGGAGGTTAACTTTAATCCCCATAATAATCATCTTATCATTTCTATAGTCTAATGTTACAGAAAAAAAGCTTGGGAAGTTTAAAAATATATATATTTGTAACTTTATTACTATGGTCTCCTGTAAAAAAAAAAAAATGATAATAAAAAAATTGTAAAAACCAGAACATGAAGCACTCAGCACCAGCATCAGCAACACACAGCAATCCACCACCACCCGCAGTCCTGTCTTTGAGTGCATGACACAGAAACAGACATACACAATGTACATACAAACGAAAAAACATTATTTTGGAAGTTGTTTTGTTTTGACAAAAGATAATATAGGTTACGTCTTACTTCATTCGTATCTAAACCTGATTTTAATCTTAAAAAATGCTGACTCATCTTTATGACCCTCCAGCATACTATATCAACTTCCAAAAGAATGAGAATTAAAAGGAATTTGACTATAATCTAAAGACCAACAATGTACATATGGTCTTAGAGGATATTTATGTGACAGGTTTATGTGGGTGTTTGTCATAGAATGAGAAACTGAGAAAAGAAAAATAATTAAAATGTTAGTTGCCACAAGCCAAGGTGTAAGCATAAATGAAGATATTGATTCTGATAAAACTAATATTCTCAGATGTAAAACTGTTAAAAGAATCAAATAACTTTAAATCATTTATATGTCCTGGCTTCAATAAAAACTCTAACAATAGAACTCAGTGCATATATATAACTCATGAGTGAATATTACAAATTATTATTTCATGTAACTGAATAATAAAATAGGCAATATATATATAAATAGTATTTTCATATATCAAATAAGAAATCTATAGCAATACAAGGACATATAAAAATATGAAGATATTTCAGTTAAAATGCTTAATAATGCACTTTTGTGCTGTTAGCACATTACAGAAAACAATTATTTCTCCTTTTCCCTTTTTTGTGTTTGCTAGATGAATGAATTCATCACATACGCTTTTATCATAAATCTAAATTACATCAATCCTTGGCTCATGGAAATAACTTGTCAAAGTGTTTCAAGGAAAATAGACCATTATACTACTAAAGAAGGGTTGAAAGGAATTAAAAGGAGTGCAGACATGTGTTTACATTTAATTTAGAAGAGGCAAGATGTAGAAAGCTGTGTATCAGTTATTCTGTGATGTAGTTACCTGGTGGAGCACCTGAGCCGGCCAGTAGTGGTGGCCCCTATGCGGCCCCCACACCACTCCGCGGCCGCACATCACCGCCTCCTCTGGAACACAGCGGCACCGCGTTTAGTGGCTCTGGCCCCACACTGGCTCTGGCTCATCACTGGCACTACATCAGGCAAGTTAGCAATGGCATTGTGACATCGACTTTACCTGAAGTGGACGCACTGTGGGGCTCCTCAGGAATGGTACGCTTATTCTTGTCCGGGGAGTGTGGTGGAAGTGGATGGGGTGGGTCTGTAGGAGGGGTGGCATCTTCATCATGGCGTGTTGTGGTCACCTCTGCACTCTGATGAGAAGGGGATGATGGTGCTGCAACTCCAACGCAATCTGAACTGCTCACATCACTCTCTCCCAATCCACCAGGTGTTTGCGTTGACACTGAGGACCGTGTGCCTGTGTCAGTATTCCCCTGCGTTGCAACCAGAGTTGTGCGCTGTTGCACTATAGTGGTCTTGTGCTGAACTACTGTTGTGTTACTACTACATCCCCCCCCACCCATGACAACTGGCTGACCTCCAACATATTCTGATGTAACAACTACTGGTGGAGCAGCACCCTGGCCTACACACACCGCCTGGCCAGGACTAACACTAGTCCCTGGAGTTGGATATGTGGCAGCAGCTGCCGTCACAGGTAAAACATGGACTCCTGTGCTACCTAATTGTGATGTTGCTGGTGAAGGAGAGATGTTTACTACCTTTGGGCCACTGACTACTGCTGTTGTGTGGGGGACTGGAGGTCGCACAGCCACCATTGCTGGCATTCCACCAGCAGTTGCTCCAGGAGTGAGAGGGCCTACCATACCACTTGAGCCACTAACTGTTGGGGTAACACCAACAATATGGCCACCAGAGAGCTGTAGCTGAACAGGATATGACATGCCAGTGTTTGGGTCTGTTGATATAAACGTTCCATCAGCAAGCTGGTTTATCACTACTCCCTGAGGAGGCGCTGAACCTACAAGAATGGCTGCTGGGTTGTGAACTTGCACAGGTAAATTTGGTAAGGTATTACCAACCATTTGAACAACATTGATAGCACCAGTTCCCTGTGCTGCTGCTGCTTGCAGCATTTGTCCACCTCCCACTTGACTGGCAACTGTAGCAACTTGAGCCATTTGACCAGCTGCTGCCACAGTGCCCATTGTACCATAAGGTGCCACCTGAGTCATATGGGGGCCATTCATTACCATGTGTTGAGGAACTTTGTTTCCCATGATAATAGCTGGTACCAATCCTTGCTGCTGATGCTGCTGTGGTGATGATTGAGTGGCAGCAGTTCCCTGTGGTGTTGATGAATTTCGTCTTCTCTTCCGTCTGCGTCCTCCAGAGGAACCAGCACTGGAGGGGGTGTCTGACCCTGGTGTGGATCCTGGAGTTGAATGTGGAGTTGAGGGAGTGGACACTGAAGTAGCGTGCGGAGTGGAGGCATTACTAGCTCTTGTGTCATCTACTGTTTCAGTTGTTAGCCCAGTAGTGACAACTTGTGCCACCTGTAAATGTGGTGAAGACTGTGGCTGCCCAACTTGGCCTTGCTGCTGTTGAGGATGATGATGAGTACCTTCCACAGCCAAAGTGGCTGCAGTAACAGGAACTAAGGACTGTCCAGCCATGATAGTACCTTGTGTTAGTGGTGTGGGACCAGCAATCATGCCACCTGGGCTGTGTAAAATACTAGGGGATGACTGGATAATGTTACCACCATTTTGTATAATAACTGGAGCCTGCATTGTGGCAAAGGTGTTGACTAGTTGCACCACTGGTTGTACAGGCTGAAACTGTTGTATTTGTGGTTGTAACTGTGGCTGCAATTGGGGTTGTAGCTGTGGCTGAAGTTGTGGCTGTAGCTGGGGTTGAAGCTGTGGTTGTAGCTGCTGCTGAATCTGTGGCTGTAAATGTTGTTGCATAGAAGCCATATGCTGCTGAACCTGTACTTGAGACATTGCAGCTGGTACTCCAACAACACCTGCAACTGCCGATGTTACAGCCACACCAGGGGTTGCATTGTTCTTATTGTTAAACTGAGAGGAAACGACAACCATACTAGTTGGGCCATTACATCCATTACCACTGCTAACAAAGGCACCTGACTGGGCAGATGGTGGTCCTCCTACTAAAACAGGACCTGGACCACGGACTAGCCCAGCTGAATTACCTCCACCGTACACCGTTACATTTGTGGAAATAGGCACATTGTACATTCCTGCTGACATAGATACTGGAAGTGCTGTTTGTTGCTGTGGAGGTGGTTGTGGTAACTGCTGCGGTTGGGGAGGTGGTGGAGGGGGTGGCTGAGGAGGAGGCGGCTGCTGTGGTTGGGAGCTTGGTCGAATGGGCCCTAGCGAGGATGGCACAGGAATGCTACTAACAATACTTTGCACCATCTCCAATGGAGACTGAGTAACCCCTCCAGCCCTACTTACGCCTGGAGGGCCAGGTGTTAGGGGTTTATTAGCTGCAACACCTTCGCTGCCATTTCCCCCACTAACTGCCTGATCTGGGCTGCTGCCTGTGCTTTCACAACTACTCATGTTGCTTGATACCTCTTTGCACCAATTTTCAGACTTAATTGTTTCTTTAATGTTTGATATGTTAATGTTAACAGATGGCTTTATGCTCTCTTCAGGTGAATTTGCCTCATGCTTAACTTTTACTAACTGATCTTCTTCTGGTTTGAAACACACAGTTTCTATTTTTTCTTTTGGTGGTAAACATTCTGACTGTGTTGATATTGGTATTGAATTTGTAATTTTAGTGTTGGTGGTCAGAGTTGCAGAGGAGGTATAGGTAACTGTTGTAGTGTGAATAAGGCTACTAGACTCAGCCTTGGCTATGGATGTAGACAAGGCTGTTTCCCCTTCAGCAGCCTGACCCTGGGACTGTTTGGCACCCTCTGGAGGACTTGCTGTCTTTTCTGCTGCAACAGGTGGGCTTCTCTGAGAGTCCCCCTTGGATGAGGTCTGTTGACTTGTTGGAGTTGAGGTACTGGTTGGTGGCGAGGTTAGGGTTGGTGTGGGGGCTCCGGTTACACTTGTGTGTGTTGAAGGTGTGGGAAGGACAGAGGGTGTTGTCATGACTGTGTTTGTTGTATGAGTTGCAGCCTTACTGACTCTTGCTGGTAATGGGACATTACTTGGCAAAGGAACCACAGCAGGTGAAGAGGACAACTGGGAAGCACGTGTAACATTGCTATTCCCTACTGGTGGCACACCAGCCTGACTTTTTGGTTGCATCTGTTGTTGTGGCATTACTGTTCCACCTGTTGGTGCTCCTGTTTGGGATGGTGGTGGTGGAGGAGGTCTTGGTGAAATGCCTGGTGCTTGGGGAGAGAACTGTCCCATGCCACCTCCTGCCATGGTATTATTTAAGAGAGCAGTCTGCTGTGCCAGATAACCACTTGGATCATCCATAAAAGAAGGTCCAGAGTGTGGGGGTCCAGGGCCACCTTGTCCACTCATATTAGGACGAGGGTGTTCGCCATGGATATTTCTTACATCAACATTTGGGCATGGTGATGCTCTCTCCAAAACACCTTTAAAGCGCTTCTTGGCTCTCCCCCCTGTCTTGCGCCTCTTCTCCCCTTCTTCCCAGAAAGTGGCAGGTGCACTGGGTCGCTCTGTTCCTCCCTGAGGATTTGCCATGTTTCCAGGAGGCAAGACACGAGGTGGCATCATTCCTGGTCCTGGCATGCGACACATCATGTTGGCATTCATGAAGCCAGGTGGGTGTGGTGCCACTCCTCTCATCCCAGGCATCATATGGGACCCTGGACCCATCATGTTGGGTGGTGGTGGCTGTGGCTGTTGCGGCTGTTGAGATAAAACAGACTGCTGCAGCTGTGATGGTGTTTGTTGCTGAAGCTGCTGCTGTTGCTGCTGCTGTTGAAGCTGCTGCACTGACTGCTGTTGCTGCTGGAGAGGCCCTTGTCCCTGAGGCATCCCACCGCGAAACATAGAAGGATCTCCTGGCCGACACATGTTTGGCCTGACCATCTCCCCAAAACCAGGCCCAATACCTGGACGAATACCTGGTCCCATAGCCATGTTAGGTCCCATATTGTTCATGTTTGATGGCATGTTGACTGGGAAACGATGATGATTATCACAGCATGCATGGGAGGTTGGGGTACAGTGCTGGGCAGGGCCATGCTGCTGATGGTAGTGGTGATTGCACCCTTGAGGGACATTCATCACTCCACCTACAGGACCATACCCGCCCCCGCCTGCCATCCGGGGTATGGCACCCATCATCCCCCAGCCCTGGAAAAAAAGCAAGAGTTTACCCTTCCATCCATCAAATAAAAATGTATGAATATAGAACAAGAATGCTCAAATCCTCTCTTAATGTCTACAAAAGACTACTGATACATATAATCTGTTCACAATCCTAATTTCCAATATTGCATCTAAATTTCCTGATAATATTTGATCTAATTCTATACTAAAAACAATCTTCAAAGGGCAGATAAATTATCTAACATGAAACCATAATGGAATTCAACTGTAAAGAGAATGAAGATTAATATGCAATATCCATATACCTGAAATACATTCAAATAGTACTGTGAATAACATAAGATATGACGAATCAGGATATTACAAAAGGCAATCCTCAAGTCCACTTTCTTCTGGACTGCACATTAAAAATTCTCTGAGAAATTGTACCTGACTATTACAGGAATTCAAGATGAAATGTTACCGTACCATAAACAATAACGAGTTAATTTCCATAACAATAATCTGAATTCCAAATAGTATGCACGAACCTAAAAATTAAGAGCAAATTTTTGTATCACAAGCTTTTCTATGTAAACCATATTACTGTAATTATATTACTTGAAACCTGGTTTATAGGTTGGCTAACTGATTGAATAGCAAAGATAACTTTATAATAAAATAAACATGACAAAACTTCAAAGGAAAAGGGCATAAGTATGTGGAAATACATCATCATCAACATCAATAATAGGAATAACATGATTCCATTCTGTAAGTACTTTGCAAAATAATACTTAGACTTTATGTTATCTCGGCCTGTGCCCTCTTAGCACACCTAGGACAGCTTCGCACCTGTTGTTGTTGGAATGCATGAGGATGTTGCTGCTGCTGCTGCTGAGGGTTGAACTGTGGCATCTGCTGCGTTGGGGTGGGCGTTCCGCGGGGCATTTGGGCGGGAGAGGGCAGCCTGGGCATCTGCGTGGGGGTTGGGGGCCCGCACGGCATCTGTGTGGGCGTAGGGGCACCTCTGGGCATCTGCGTGGGCGTGGGGGCTCCCCTTGGCATCTGCGCAGGCGTTCCCCGCGGCATGGGGGACGCGGCCGGGCCTCGGGGCAGGTGGGTGGACGTGGGGGTCGCTCGCGGGGTGTCCAGCGCCTCTGCTTTCCGCTTCCGCTTCTTCCGTCCATCTTCTGCAACGGGAAGGCTCGGTCAGAGGGTGCTCTCTCTATCTCTATTCTATCTCTATCTCTATCTCTATTCTCTTTCTCTCTTCTCTCTCTCTCTCTCTCTCTCTCTTCTCTCTCTCTCTCTCTCTCTCTCTCTCTCTCTCTCTCTCTCTCTCTCTTCTCTCTCTCTCTTCTCTCTCTCTGTGTGTGTTGTGTGTGTGTGTGTGTGTGTGTGTGTGTGTGTGTGTGTGTGTGTGTGTGTGTGTGTTCACACATTTATATGAATATATTTACATCTAATAAATAACAACTGCATACATAATTACATGCACATACACGGTCGCAAACAGAACACGTCAAAAGAGAATGAATCGTTTGATCAATCCCAAATGAAGAAAGGCAACGACGCCGGTGACAACAGATAATCACGCTAATGAAGATAAGTTAAACCAAAAGCCCACCATTCCCTCGCGAGAGACACTTCGGCCAACGCGGTTCTGCGCTCGACGGCAGGCAGTCGGTCCCCCGCTTCCCCTCAAAGCAAACTCGCCCCGACCTTGGCCTGACCTTGGCGTGTTCGGGAATCGTTGTTGTCACTTCTCTCCCTCCCCCTATCTCTCTCTCCCTCTCCTTCTCCCTTTTTTCCTTTTCCTTCCCCCCCTCCTCTTCTTTTTTCCCCTTCCTCTCCCTCTTCTTTTCCCCCTTCCTCTACTCTCTCTCCCTCCCTCTCCCCTCTTCTTTTCCCCTTCCTCTCCCTCCCTCCTCCTCCACTCTTTCCTTCCCCCTCTCCTTTCTTTCCCCTCTTCCTTTCCCCCTTCTCTTCTCCTCTCTCTCCCTTCCCCCTCCCTCACCCCCTCCCCATCCCTCCCAACAGCCCGACGCCAATGCCCGCCCACAGTCCTCCGTCAGCGCCAACACTCTCCGTCAGCGCCAATGCCCAGTCCCCGTCCCGCCACTCACCACCCTGGCTTCCTCCTCTGCAAAAATTCCGGGCCAGGGAACGGGACCTTCCAACGACGACGAGACCCGAAGTTCCTGCGAGTTCCTCTCTCTCTCTCTTCTCTTCTCTTCTCTACCTCTCTCCTCTCTCTCTCTCTCTCTCTCTCTCCTCTCTCTCACTCCTCTCTCTTCTCTCTCTCTCTCTCTCTCTCTCTCTCTCTTCCTCTTCTCTCTCTCTCTCTCTACCTCTCTCTCTCTCACCGAAGTTTCTGCGAGACGACGAGCGGGGGGGGGGGGGGGGGGGGGAGGGGCCAGGCACGCGACGCCACTTGTTCGCCGCTTCAAATATGCATATGCACATTACCCCGGCGCTATGTACCCTTTGCGGGACAAATGTGGGACTTTGATCTATTACGCACTAATTCCAGCTTGCGGTCCGGTGCCGGCGCGGCTGGGGAAGGAGGGGGAGAGGGAACAGGGGAGAGGGGGGGTGGGGAAGGAGGGGAAGGGGGATAGGGAACAGGGGAGAGAGGGAGGTGGGGAAGGAGGGGAGAGGGGAGGGGGAAGGAGGGGGAGAGGGGGAGGTGGGGAGGGAGGGGGAGAGGGAACAGGGGAGAGGGGGAGAGTGAGGAAGGAGGGGGAGGTGGGGGAGGGGAACAGGGGAGATGGGGGAGGTGGGAAAGGGGGGAGATGAGAGAAGGAATAGAAGGAGGGAGAGGAAAGGTTGAGAAAGCAGAGAGAGAAGGAATGGATGAAGAAAGAAACGAAGGAAGGAAGAGAGGAAGAGCCGGGATAGGAGAGAGGGACGAAGGAAAAGAAAGAGGGCAAGAAAGAGAAAGTAGTAGGAAGGAAAGGAAAGGGATAGAAAAAGGGGAATAAATAAGAGAACGAAGATAGTGGGTAAAATAAGACGAGCGGAAGAAAAGACATAAGAAAGAGGAAATAGAGAAGAGAGAGAGAGGAGTGAAGGCAGAAACAGGAAGGCAAAAAAATAACCAAGAGAGCCAAAGAAGGGCGAGGAAGAACAAGAAAAAAAAAACCCAAGAAAGAAGAAAGAGAAGGAGAAAGAACAAAAGAGAGTGAGATAAAAAAAAAAAAAAAAAAAAAAAAAAAAAAAAAAAGAGAGAGGAAGAAAAGGTAGAATCGCAACGTCAGGAAACGAATGAGGGCGAGAGAAAGAGTGGAATTAAAAGGGGAATAAAAGGAGGGAATCGATCAATATGTAGGGTTATGCGGCACGACGAGGCCCAGCAACGAGGGTGCCAATTACGCAACAAGCAGCCGGAGGTGGAGGCGGAGGGGAAGGGGAGAGGGAGGGAAGGAAGGAGGGAAGGAAAGGAGGGGGGGGAGGAAAGGGAGAAGGGAGAGGGGAAGGGAGGGAGGGAGGGGAAGGGAGGGAGAGGGGAGGAGTAGGGAAGAAAAGAGGGGGGGGAAGGGAGGGGGAAGGAAAGGAGAGGAGGTTAAGGAAAGGGGGAAGGAGGGAAGGGAGAGGAAGGGGAAAGGAGGGGGGAGGGGGGAAGGAAGAGAATGAAGGGAAGGGAAGGGAAGGAATGGAGGGAGGGATGAGGGAAGGAGGGAAGGAGGGAGGTTAGAGGGTCAGGGGGGGGAAAGGGAGAAGG